TTCAGCTAGCAAGTGTTGGGCAAAGTACAGAGGGCTGGCCAACAAAATATGGAGTTTTTCCTGTGTTGCAGTTTGCTACACTTACCTAACAGTATTTATTTACTGTAGTTAGCATATGTTTATAGTGACCTGCTGCTGCCAAAAATAATACTAGTTTTCTATCTGTCGATGCGGGACCCATAAGGTTCCCCACGGTGAAGAGAGAAGAAGACTTAGTGGAAAAAGAGATGTTGGATCGTTTTCATGTAACAACTTTTGTCACCACTAGGACTAGTACATCCTTAGTTAAAATCCTCTAATCTTTAGGATCTTCTCAAATATCTTTGTAATTGATTTAGGACTCATAGATCTCTCTGAAAAGGACTATATAAAAATAAATTTGGGGGTCCCCTAGTTTATATCTTATAGAGAAGCTACACCTAATCTCTTAAATTCCTATCCACACACATAAAGGGCGTTGCAAGAACATTGCCATAGAATCCTGTTTTTTTCGCTAACTAAACAACGGAAACTTACAACGGTTTATTACCTAACCAGGTATCAAATATACAAATTTGGGACCCACCACACCTTGGGCGTGCCGAAACTCGTGATTTTAACTTTAGGCTGCCTTGCCTAAAGTGTTCTTTTATTCAATTATAAATCATTATTCTCCTGACCATTTTCAGCTAGCAAGAGTTGGGCAAAGTACAGAGGATACCCCTGGCCAACAAATCACCGTCCGGGGACTCCCGTGTTGCAGGTTGCTACACTTGGTAAAACATTTATTAACTATCTAGTTATGTTTATAGTGACCTGCTGCTGCCAAAAATAATACTAGTTTTCTATCTAGTTCAGTGATGGAATTCATGAAACACATTGTCTGAATTTATAGAGCTTGGGGCCACAATGAAACTATGATAAACTAGCTATCTTCTTTTTCTTAATATTAAAGATATGCAGCTCTCCTGCCTATTTGATAAAAATATAAGCTAGTCGTCAAAGAATTAATTGGTTCAGTAAATAATCAGATGTAGTCCCTCAAGACAAAACTGAGTATTGTCCTATTTGTGCAGTCGGACAAGTGTTGAACAAATGGTTCAGTAAACCCATGGTTTGTATTCAATTGGGTCAGGCCAGGCCACCCACATGTTTTGATAGGATAGATACAGGTTTTCATGAACAGAACTATACAGAAGGTTTTGAAATAAGATGGGCTTCACTCAGCTTGGGCTGGCTGGGCTGCTCACTTTGTTGGGTAGCTCTGAGTCTGAGCAGCTTGCTGGTTATTCATACAGTACAAGAATGCAGGCCATTTGTTTATTCTGGAGAAAGGCATACAGCTTGCTGTTTATTTGATGGTTAACAGAACAAGTATTTTCACATTTCTTCCCTGTATTACCACTGTAAGGTTTTTACCGAGTTTATATGGCAATTTGATCTTAATCTTTTTGTATTTGCAGAAGTGAATGAATGAGGCGGGTTCAATCAGTGTAATTAGTTTAGCTCTGCATTGTTTCCTCCCGTTCTGCTTTGGGTTCTTCTGTAAGCAAGGGCACACAATTGCAGAACATTGCTTGACCTGCAGTCTGACAACTGATCCCAAGAGGGATGCAAAACTACAGCTTCACGCTCGCTGCAGAACACAGATGAACACCCTGAATCTACATGGCGTCGTCCCGAGGCAGTCTTTGGGTCTTGTTCCTGCTCTATACATCACTACATGTCTGTTTTCTCCACACAATCGACTCCAGGTGCCGTCATTGAATCTGTGAGAGGCCCCAGCACAGCCTGCAATACCAGCAGCAGAACAAATCACATGGCGATCATCTTCGCCCGCCAGACTGCCGCCAGTATTCCTGCATCCAGGTCAAGATGAGCAGTGCTGCGGAGTGCCCAGAGCCCGAGGATTCAGCCCTTGTGGTGCCATCTAGAAAATCCAGATGGTCATGAATAACTTACCATGCGATGACAGTCCGGATTGACTCTGACAGCCTGCGTGTTAATTTCATTGGCACTTGTTCTCAGGAAAGTAATACTGGAAATGAAACGTGCAAAGAATTCTTGTTATGCTTTCTATTTGTTGTATTATGCTAGAGCTGCAAAATTCCTTGGGATCTAGTACTATCTAGAGTGATGCAAATTCTACAAACTCTAGTCGAATGAAATTGGAATGCCAAAAGGATTCATACGACAACATCTGCTCCAATGTCTACATGTGGGAACGCTGCCGTCCACGCAGCTACGAACACACAGCCTTTACATCCAACTAGCCAAGGCAGTGGAATCCACATCCTCCTCAACTTAAAGATTCCGCCACACGATTCTCCCTCGTGACCATCGCTCGGCAGCACAGCTCGTGCAGAAACAGACATGCACGCTGATGAGTCGAGTCCGGCAACCACTAGGCCACACGACACATGAGAGGCTATATCTGAATTCTGGAACACTCAACCATTAACCTTATCTTATTCAGGCTCAGGCTCAGGACAGCTGATGCATTACTAAACAGTTGCCTGTGGAAGACCCTCTCTCACGCCATGACCCGAAAAGACCCCTGTCTGTCCCATGCAGTTATCGCTACGATGACTTTGTTTATGATTAGTTGTGGTCTATTAACCTGCACTCTATCGACTACCATTACCATCTCGTCAGTTTTTTTTTCTTCTTCTCCTGCTTGAACCAAGATGTAGATATATGTATATATCTACCGGTGAATCACATAAACACGCTTCAGCAATCGGTGTGATGTGGCTAAACAATCGGATGGACAGTTCCAAGAAAAGACTTTGAGGCATTTTCGTTGTCGTCTTTTGAAGGGGAAAAATAGCGTTTAATGTGTTGGTATTTGCCCCACAGCCGCTCGCACGGGCACTGTAGTTGTGCGTGGCGTGGGCGCCACAAATAATGTTGAAAATGGCCGCTCGCACGCTGCAAACGAAGATTAGTGGGCGCCCCCCGTGCCTGTCTCTGTCCGCCATGGCCCATGCGCACCCGGCACCCCCAACAAGGCAACAACATCTCGTCCTCGTGACAGGATCGGAACCGCCAATGGATCCACAGGACACAATTTTATGATTATATTATTAATTAGTATTATTTTTCTTCCTATGTAGCCCCCTTTTTTCAAAAAAGAATAAGATTTCCGTGTTTATTGGAGTCAAACAATTCTAAATTTAAATGAAATATATACTAAAGATATTTATATTTATTATATCAAATATAGTAAACTCGTTTAGAGACATAAACTTGGTATTATTTTCTATAAAATTAGTTATGCTTAAGAGATTTTGATTTATCTTAAATCTAAAGTTACATTCTTTTTTTGGACGAGAGGAGTAGATGAGGACACGAGGTTGCTTGCCTTCTTTGCCTAAGCCATGGCGGTTGTAGTATGCTGCACCCTATTTATAGAAAAAAAAAATTGACAGTGGTGTCTCCGAACTACTCCCTCTAAGTAATCTAAGCTTTCAAAATTTATTCCAGTTTATTAAAAAAAGTCCAGATGAAGTAACCCCAGCTCAATTTAATAAGACAATATTCACATGCATACCTATTGTTCATATCTATTACCCAAATATAGTAATTATAATATATTTTTGTGATCAAGGAAGGGGTGCATGTGTTATTTGCTTTGCACATAATGTCAAATAACTCTTTTCTATGATGCCTTTGTGATTTTAGGACGGTGGCAGTATTAATTTGCATGCTTTAGTGAACAAATAGTTTTTCTGGCCATACTTCTCCTTACAACGTTCATTTGTAATGAAACAAAAAGTTGGGTCAGACCAGTTTATTCTGACCGCGCTTTTCCCACAGCCTCGTTCGTAACAAAATGCAAAAGCGCAATTTTTATCTATTTGTATAACTTCTTAGTGAAGCACGTTTTAGAGAAGTTATACTAAACCGAGCGTAAATCCTTCGTGGGTGGGGCCGTGGGGGTTATCATGGTTATCTCTTCTCTATGCAGCTAATGTCCCCCCCGATGTATAGTGCACACTCTCTAAGTCAAGGCCAGTTGTTTTCAAGCGTGTACATTTATCGGCCAAAATGTCATTGCAGCGGCCAAAGATGTGGATGTGATGACGATGTACAATGATCCTTGTACCCTTGATTTGAGTCTTCGAGATGCTGAATTGGATGTGCCCTGAGATTGTTATCATTCTCGCTCATCCTTTGTGTACGTCCTCGGTAGCTTCAGCCTAACTCTTCGCCTATTAAGTATTAACAACTAACTATTAGTACTTATCTAAAAGTAACCCACCGGTTGGTATTAACCTCACAAATACTGGAAGCACAATAACCAACAAGGAATAGCGCGTCACCAACCGCGTCTAAACTAGGTCAGCTAATTCTGCGCGGGAATGTTCTTTTTGTCACATTTACCTCGGAGCAGCAAAGTATATACGATATGACGGCCAAACCTAATGATCCTCCTCTCTCCTCAAGGCAAAATAAAATATTTACCGGCCGACAATGTTTTTCTTTTGTCGTGTCAAAGTGTCAGGGTAATGACGAAGGCAGTAAGCTAAGTGTCCCTAGCTTGATAGTGTCGCATATAAATACGTCCCGGCCGGTCATCGGCAGAGCCAGAGGCAGGGGCAGGTGGTTGGGCTATTGGCATTTGGCACGCCATCAGCATGAGCTCTCCTCCTCCTCCCGAATTCCTCCGATCCTCTCTGTGGATAGAAAGCTAGCTAGCTGCTGCTCCCCGTCCAAACAGGATGGCGCTGATGATTGGTCGTGGTCGTGGGAGCTCGAGATGGCCGTGTTCATCATCGTCTTCTTCCTGCTCCGGACGACGGAGGGCTTCCACGTACCCCAAACTCTTGTAGCAGGCTGTCCGGTCGTCGAGTTGTGCACGCAGGCAGCGCAATCGCAATCAGGCTAGGTAGTACTAGGTATAGGTAGCTAGTTGGTAGGCTACGCGCGCGCAGGTGGTGTGTCGTCGTCGTCGTTTCCTCTCTCTGTGTCGGTAGGCGCGCGCACGCGTGCAGGGCGACGGACGGCGGATGGTCATCATGGCCGGCATGCTCCCCGGCGTGGAGTCCGCGCGGCGGCGGCGGGTCCGGCAGTCGTCGTCCGGCGCGGCGGAGGCGCGGCGGGCGTCCCTGTGCCTGTACGCCGGCGGGCGTGGCCGTGATCTTGGCCTTGGCTCGTCGTCGTCAGCAGCAGCATCTTCCAAGGCAAGAACTTTGGTCGCCATCAGCCTGTTCGTTCATGTCGTATGCATGTGGTGGCGTCCTTCTGATGTTTGCGGTTGCTGCAGGTGCGGAGCGGCGCTTGCGGGGAGACGACGACGGCGATGGCGCGCGCGTGGACGACGACGCTGGGCAGCGACGCCCGGGAGGCGAAAGAGAGGCTGGATCACAAGCTCAGGGGCCACAGACAACCTGTGGTGCTCAAGAGGTGCGTTGCTTGCTGTTGCTCTGCCTTGCTGTACGGCTGTTCAGAGCTGCACCATTTCCACCTCTACTGTACGTTTCTGGTAGCTAGCTTCTCCGCTGATTTATGCCACGCTCTTTTTTTTTTGAAAAAAAAAGAGAAAGGACCCGACAGTGGCGTGATGAATATGATGGTTTGCTAGCCTAGCTAGACACTGTTCAATTTAGGAGATGGTAGTGCGTACAGTCGTACACCCAGATGAATTTACAAAATTTCATGATGAGGCTATATGCACTTTCTGCACCAAAATGCAAGACACTTTTGTATGAAGAATCTACAATCTATAGTGCTGTGATGAGACGCACAGTTTCCATTTACGTTTCCAAATTCAGAATCTGTGAGATTCCCTGCTGGTCTAAAATGAATGACAGAACTAACGGTGTGATACCATCGGTGCAGGCATCAGATGAGCACGCGACCCCCGCCAGCCAAACCGCACGACGACGCAGCGCGCGGCGGCATGGGCGGCGGTGGCGATAGCGATGGTCACCACCGCCACCACTCGGCAACGGCGACAACCTGCGGCGTGCTGCTGCAGCGGGAGGTGCTGTCGTCGCCGTCGAGGCCGAGGAAGGGAGGAGGGGGCCGGTTCGGCTGGTGTGGGCTGCCCGGCGGGCGGTGCGCGCCGCCGCCCGAGGCGGACGCGGAGGCAGAGTGCGCGGTGTGCCTGGAGGAGCTCCGCGCGGGGGACGTGGTGGCGCGCCTGCCCTGCGCGCACCGCTTCCACTGGTCCTGCGCCGTGCCCTGGGTCCAGGCCGTCTCGCGGTGCCCCGTCTGCCGCGCCCACGTCGCCACCGGCCCCAGCTGAGCGACGCGGCGACACCTTCGCCCTCCTCCTCCTCCCTCGGCGGCTCCTGCCCTGGCTCCCTGCCACCCGCGCCGCGGCGGGACGGATCGGAGCAAGGCCGGCGCGACGCGACGAACGCGAGGCCGGTCATCACGGCGCACGCCGCGCGTGGGATGATGCGTGCTTCGTGTCAAGGGAAGGCCGCCATGCACGGAAGGTTAGGTGGTTGGTCGCGGTTGCATTTTGACCTTTGTTGCAGGCGTGTGTGACGTCGGAATCAGAATATCAGATCAGATGGTGGTGCAGCACGGGGAGACGAGAGACCCTGCTCCCTGCTGCTGCAATGGATATGGATGGAGAGGATATTTACTTGCTGCCCAGGGCGAGAACATGTTCAGAGCAGAGCTCTCAGATAGTACGAGACCCTGTGTTAAACCCGAAGGCTGATTCGTAGTAGCATGAGAAACCAATCAGATGGTTCGGTTCAGTTTGTACTTTAACAAAAAAAAAGGTGCCACGGACAGTAACTAGATCGTAATAACCCACGAGCTAGACTTTTGCGATCCAACAGTCCGCTTCCTTGAGCTTCCCGGCTCTTGCTAAAACAATTAGGGCCTATAACAGAAAATGCATCACCTCTCAAGGGGGACGCGTGTGTAGTTAGTTTGTAAGGTTAATTAGATATGTATACCCGTTATAATTGTCACAGTTCGAAGATACATCATTAAACTTTGTTGTATTGTAACCATGCCATTGCAATTCGGTATCGCACTTTATACGCCTCTGATTACGCTAAATCTATGCACAGATCATTGTACCCAGATAATATTTTTTATGGACAAAATGTCCATTTCTTCTTCCTTGGACCCTGCCACACCCCACCCCCCTCCCCTTTACATCACCATCCCCCCCCCACCCACCACCATCACCATCTCCCCCCCCTCTGCTTGATCATGCTGGCATCGCCATCTTTCTCCCTCGGCACGTCTAGCTATACCGACTACCGAGCTGCCACGACGCCACCACCCATCACCATCTCCTCCTCCCAAGTCATGTCGTACACCATATCCGCGCATCATGCCCTGGCGTTGGCGCCATCCGTCCTCTTTCTATCCGCTTTGACAACGCCATTCGCCGCTAGAGGAGCAGCAGCGGGGCATAGTCCATGGTGGTTGACCTTGTTGGCAATGCGAGGGGCCTAGGCAAGCTCGCCTGTAGGGAGGAGCAGATGAAACAAACACGGAAGAAATGGACTGACGTAATGCGATATTTGTTATAATTAATAATGGCACGGTGCCAATATAACAAATAATATCAGTATAACTGAAAAAGCGATATTTGTAACGGTATATGTATATACATACAATCAATCCTAGCTTTGTATACCGTACTATTAGCTGGGAACGTGGTACGGCATGACGTATTGCGCCGCAGCCTAGAAATTCAGAGTCCAAATACTATTTATCAAAATTCAGAGTCCACAGCCACACGCTGCATTTCTTTCCACATTATTTATCAAATTGTCCTGTCCTCTTGTTGTACGACGAAAGGTACTTTAGTACCACACAGGCGTGTCATATTCGTACTATACGCGTGGTAGTGCTAATCTCTTACCATTTTATCACTTTCATTTAGTCGTCTCGTCTATGGTCCACAGCGATGACATTTGCTATATATCATAGTAATAGTTAGTAAGTAAGCATCTACACATATATCTCTTAGTTACCTGTGTGGAGGGCAGAGTGAAGAGCTGTTTAGAGCGTGTCCTGGCAGGCAGCTCGCCGGTCAGGCAACAATCTCATCTCCATACAACTCGAATTGGACGCCGGGGAATCGACAGTTTTGCCTAGGAACACAGCCCAATAGACCCTGACAGCTCCATTATGTATTTATTATGTGGTTTGTATGCCCGTGATCTGCCTGACCAGGGTGGACACGTCTCTCGACATATTTTTCACACCACAAATCATAAAATGCCACAGCACTAAGAAGCAACTCGTACCGTGGTGCGTCCATTGTCAGAGAGCACCACCGGCCGCCGTGGACTTCATGTATTCATTATTTCTCCGCACGGAAGGAAAAATACATACCGCACTCGAGTGATGCCGTGAGAAAGAAAGAGAGAAGAAAAAAAAGGAGGACAAGAAATAGATGGCTAGACGTCGATACGGTACGGAGCTCTCTACACCGCAGCAAGATCACCACGCGCTGGCACAGTGGACTGCAAAACGCAAAAGCAAGGTAGTGGTCACAATCACGGAGCTGTAACTTGTGAGGCTATGAAAAATCTGAACGTACGACACGACGCCCTCCTCTCGATCTCGAGCCACCACCAGAGACGGATCTGTAGTCAACATCACTATCCACGTCTCTCAGGAAAAAAAAACATCAGTATCCACGCTCAAAATTCGGCTGTTAATATTACATATTTTCACCTTATATACTTTTTTAGCGGTCAAGAGATTGTAAAATGCCGTACCCCTTTCATTTTCTATTAGCTCTCCACCCCTGGCTACCGTCGTGCCTGGTAGTACATTCTAGATCTTGTTTTTGGGAGCATGATTTGTTTTCGGAAGTGTTAGCGCCCGGACGTCTGGATGGGTGCCTACGCGCTACACTCCATTTTGAGGCGAGCAAGCCAGGGCACCGGATGTCCAAAGTGAAGTTTTCTCGCGCGCGCCGCGTGTGTCGAGCGACAAAGAGGAAGAGCGTCCATCGACGTCTCCGATTCGGAAGGAGCCGGCGGCCCGTTCGTCGATGGATGCCTGCCGGAACAAGTATTTTTCTTTCACAAAATTTCAAGAGAGAGACTTTCGAGTTGCAACAAAAGGTGGGGAGGAGAGATGCAACATTCCGAGTCTACTATTTTGAAACATCCAAATCAAATTGTCCTGTCCTCTTGTTGTACGACGAAAGGTACTTTAGTACCACACAGGCGACTATATACCATTTTATCACTTTCATTTAGTCGTCTCGTCTATGGTCCACAGCGATGACATTTGAAACACTTGAAAAAACACCTGAAAACACTTGCAAACCATTACAACCATGCGCAAACATCCAAATAAAACACATGCAACATATGTGTGAAACATATGCAACATCCAGATAAACACACTTGCAACATGTGTCTGGAAAACAAAGATGAAACATACCGACATAAATACAAATCATAAAATGCCACAGCACTAAGAAAACACAAAGCACCACATATATTCATTATTTCTCCACACGGAAGGAAAAATACATACCGCACTCGAGTGATGCAACATGCCTATGAAACAATTACAACATATGCAATGTGCAACATCCATATGAAACAAATGCAACATACATTCTGAACGTACGACACGACGCCCTCCTCTCGATCTCGAGCCACCACCAAACGCATAGTCAACAAACACTTGAAACATACATATACATATTTTCACCTTATATACTTTTTAGCGGTCAAGAGATTGAGAGAGAGAGAGCTCTCCACCACTGGCGTCGTGCCTGGTAGCATTCTATGTTTTTGGGAGCATGATTTGGGAGTGGAAGCCGGACGGATGGGTGCCTACGCTTATACTCCATTTCGGGGAGGCCCGCGCCGCCCGAGAGAGGCACGCTCTCCGATCGGAAGGGGTGGAGAGGGCGCCCTATACACGATGCAACAAAAGGTGGTGGGGAGATGCAACACCGACTACTTTTGAAACCAAATGCACACCGCCGCCCACCTCCAAAGGATCTTGCTCGTGCTCCATGGATCTGCAACATATGTGTGAAACATATGCAACATTGAGATAAACACACTTGTGGCGGAAAACAAAGATGAGAAACACACAAAACCGGATTCTATGAAACAATTACAACATTGGGGGCTCCGGTGAGGGAGGATGTTAGGGTGGGAGAGAGGAGGGCGCCATGGCTTCTGTGGTGGTGGGTAAGAAGGCGCTGGGGTGGAGAGGGCGCTGGCCGGGGAGGCAGCCATGGCCGCCCACCTCCAAAGGGTGCTCCATGGGGAGGTGTGGCCCACCGAGGGGATGTTAGGGAGAGGGCTGCCGGGGTGGGAGGCGTGCTTGCCGGGGAGGCAGCCATGGCCATGGAGGGGGGTGGCGAGGGTGGATGCACTAACGGATGGAGGAGCAAGAGGTGAACTATGACAAAACCGCCCAATTTATACAAGATAAAGTATGGCCGTCCACGTTTAACACGTTGACACGCACATACTTTCACTTATACAAACCCGATAATCCGTCGAGTATCACGAAGGACCTCGGTAAATCCACATCACAACCAAGACCGTAATAGATTAAGCAAATACACATCACATACACAGAGTTGCAACAGAAATAATGTTTGCAATTGAGTTCACAAATAATAATATGTTGCCAAGTTTACAAATATGATAGCTAAAACAACATAGCTTTAAAATGGTTACAATAACATAAGTTTTAAATACACTACTAGCATAATTGACATCCTCGAACAATAGCATATAGATGAGAAATAAATATAGAATCGCCGAGCCCACCGGCGGTTAACCACCATCTTCAGCAGGCCGAGAACTTCACCTGCAACATGGTGGGATAAACCTTGAGTACTCAAATGTACTCAGCTAGACTTACACGACAGGAGAGAAATAAAAGACTCTCAAGGATATGCAAGGCTTATTTGGTGGAGTTGATGGGATAGCATAACTTTGCCAAAGAGCATTACTATCATAAGCCCTTACTTTCAATGTTTTAATCAATATTTTAGCATCAAGTTGAGTGAAGCTATTTAAGGCTAAGTTTGCACCTATTCTACAGCAATCACTTGATTATTAATCATCACAATAGTAACCATATCCAGTTTATCATATAATCAGCATATAACCATCATCTTTCATCATCATACTACGATGTTGACGCTAGTCGAGTTTCTCACTATACGAGAGAGACGGTGATTCGAATCGTTTGCAACCAGCTAGGCAGAAATCCATAACACAAACCCAGGCAATACCGCGCGAAGGCAGCCTTAGGTCACCTTTGTATAATTCG